AAAATATATATACTGGAATATACATAGATAAATCTGGAAGGATATACAACGTACGGTTCAAAGATGTTGAATATTGCAGAAAACAGCTGGAGTGAAAAGTAAGCTTATTTTCATTGTGTGCTCTTTTATTCTGTTTGAAATTTTCCTATGTACTTATTTACCAAAAAAAAAAAAGACAGATAAATTGCTTTGTCTTGCACAAATCATACACATGAACAAAGGATCTAGAGTTAGATTGGATTCAAAGATGAGCTGTTACTTACCAGTGACCGTAGGATGCTCCCTAATCTCTCTGTAATTTACTTGTAGTGACTATCTCCTAGGGTTACTGTGAGGACTAAGTTACAGAATGCATGGAAAATAGTACAGCCAGGACACAAGGTACTTTCTCAGCAAATGTAAATGTGTAATAATAATAATGATGATGATATTGAACATTTATTGAGTGCTTACCATGTGCCAGGTACCACGTTAAAAGCTTTACAAATGTTAATTTGTTTAATCCTTAGAACAACCATATGAGATAAGCATTATTTTCATCCTAATTGTACAAATGGGGAAACTGAGGCACAGAGAGGTTAAGTAACTTTCCCCAAAAGACACAGGTAGTAAGTGGTAAAGCTAGGATTCAAACACAGGCAGTCTGGCCCCATAACCAGAGCTCTTCCCCACTTACAGAATGGCCTTGTCCTTCCTGGGCAGACAGGCCCACTCATGGCACAGTTTTGAGACTAATGAGAGGATAGCCCAGTTTCTAAGAGAAAGGATGGGAATACAGTCATCTGTTGCTTAATGACGGGGATAAGTCCTGAGAAATGCAGTCAATCGATTTCGTCCCTATGCAAGCACCATAGTGTGTACTTACACAAACCTAGCCTACTACACACCTAGGCTATATGGTACTAATCTTATGGGACCACCATCTCTATAAGCGGTCCGTCGTAGACCAAAACATCGTTATGTGACGTGTAACTGTATTTGTAAACATCTTATAAGAGTATGACGACGCTTTCCCACTCAACCCCAAGTCAGAATATTACAATCAAAATGACACATGAGTGTTTCCGCTGGAGTGTGAGGGGACTTTTCCCTCTGCCTTTTTTTTCTCCCAGCTGGATCCTCTGTGCTTGTGAATCTGGAGTCACTGACAGAAACTCTGATGGAAAATCAATAGGGCTAAAAAGCCAACAGGGGTCATGGAGTGTGGAGGGGGTGGGGAGACCTATCTTTGCTGAATCTATTATCTAATAAACAAATTTAAATACTAACAGCCAGGGAGGACCTGCCCTCTTTCATGAGGATCATTCAGGTGACACAGTTCTGTCAGAATGACTTCTCTCAGGACGGTATACCAAGTTTCCCAGGGCAGTCAAGACCTTACATTTTCTTTAGGTAAGCATTTCCTTAATATTTAACCCAAGTTCCCTCAGTTGAATATTTAACCCAATTCTAATGTGTTGCCTTTGCTAGAAGAACTGGTCTTTGGCCTCCTCATAACCTATCTTAAAATGAAGTGCCCTTGAGAACAATTACATGTTGAATTCAGCCACTGACAGATCCTGAATAGTCTAATGCTGAAAAATTTAGGTCACATTACTAGGGTGTTTTTCTTTCTTTCTTTGTCTCCAGAATTAATCAGAATTATCGGAATGTTATTCCTCACTTCACCACTATTTACAAAGTGTTTAACACTGACATTCAGTTTGGAAATCCCCATTCTCCTGTGCCAACATCTCTCGACTGTTCCAATTTTCCAAACTACTGATCAATTTTTCACTCCCTCTGTAAGATTTCATTTTGAACAATCTGCTAGTCAAGGGATCCTTGGCGTACCAACTCAAGGCTGGACACAAAGACACCAGCTCCTGGGAAAGGATCCTTCTTTAATCATTTCAGACTATTACCTTGCTTGGCTAATGTAAGAAACAATTCAGGAGCCCTTGAGTTGCTCTTTCACGTCTGTCAAGTTCAATGTTGGAAGTGCCAGGCTCACCAAGACTTCTCAGGTACTGCTTGTGCCAGGGGCCAGGCTGCAGGGAAGAGAAAATTCACCATTCACCAGCACAGGCGTTGAAGACAGTGAGGCTTTCTTCCCTGAGCACACTGGGACGAGGGGAGGCTCTTGATGAACGTGTTAAATTAAGTCAAACTGGAAAGGAATCTAAGAGTAAATTACTTAGCCTATCTCCTTCTCACGTTTGTTCGAGTTCTGTCTTTGAGATTTGCTTCTTCTCACACTTGGGAATTACAAACAGACATTGTACTGGCTGAGGTTGCGAAGTACATTAGGTCTTATTCTAGAAAGGAAATGATGTGACAAAGCTGGTATTTTTAAAAATGTCACTTATGGAAGTAAGCATTTTCTATAGCAAGAGTTTATTCCCTAAGACCAAAAGCTCTAAAATACAGCCTCCCTTCTTCAGTTAGTAGAATATTTTATTTTAATCTGGAGAGATGTTTCCTCCAATATACTTTATGGGGACATCCATACTATTATTTAACTCCTTACATGATTCTCTTCATTCTTCATAATAGAAATTGCTGGTAGGCATTGGACTTGCAAGCCCTAGAAAGAAGGAAGAGTCCAACAATGGATAATTATGTGTGCACATCTCAGATGGATAGCTGTGCAGGAATATTTTCTATTTGTGGAGCATTGATGCTCAGAAACAGTGAAAGCACCAGGATTTAAGACCACAAAACCTGTAATTGTTTATCATCTCACATAGAGTCAGTAGGAAGAATGCATTTTCCCCTTTGGTAACAGAAGAGAAAACCAAGACTCTCTTTGCTTCTCCCTCCTCGTTTTCCAGAATGAAAGGGAGAGTTTTTCTATGAAAGAATCACTTTATTGAGATCTCAAAAGAAGCTCCCTTCTGACGCTGATTTACTTATGGACCAATCTGGAAAGAGGAAATAAGTGGCTGCTTCTCCCAGAAGGTAGACTGAAGTGTGAAGAGGAAGAATGACAATCTTCATCCATAGGATCAAAAACATTTAGTGCAACAAATAGCAAGAGTTCAATCAGCTATATGGCAGAGCTTGACTTTTGGTGTTTGTTCAAATGCTTTCTTGCTTTCAGCCATTTTCTATAAATTCAGGCTTGTGCTCATTAACATAGAAGACATATCTAAATACAGTTGGCTCTTTGTATCCATGGGTTCCCCATCCTCGGATTCAACTAACCCGGGACTGAAAGGCCTAGACGGTTGCATCTGTACTGAACATGTACAGACTTGTTTTTCTTGTCATTATCCTCTAAACGAGACAGTACAACAACTATTTACATAGTATTTACATTGTATTAGGTATTAGTAATCTAGAGATGACTGAAAGGATACAGGAGGATGTGTGCAGGTTATATGCAAATGCTATGCCATTTTATATAAGAGATTTGAGCAGCCATGGATTTTGGTATTTTCAGGGGTCCTGGAACCAATTCCCCATGGATATGGAGGGATGCCTGTAATCCATTGACAGGCTAAATGGAGACTCAGGAAGCACTGGGCCTTCACATCCCTGTGATTTTCTGAGGATGTCTCCCTGGGCCAGCAGTAAGCCCAGAGGAAAGCATACAGACCAGGAAGCAGCATTCTATTTCCTGTCTCTGCATCAAGGGAGATCATGAGTGATTTACAGAGGAATTTAAGACCTATTCTGTAAACTTATACTAGTAAATGAGTTAGGACCTGGAGAGGGTTTTCAGACCGGGCCACTAGTTTCTGCTTGCAAACAGAGTTGATCTAATCCTGCTTTTGCAGCTGAAAGTCAAATAGCTTATTGAGCAAACCCAAGGTGAATTTCGGCACACTTTAGAGTCAGTGGCATTCGAGAATGAACACATTTAGACACTATGATTTTTAATATGTCATTTATTTAAACCAAAATCACTTTATATTTTCAAGGGGTGGATTTCAAAGATATAAAGAGAAATTCATGCTCAGAGCAAACAGTTTTATTCAATTTCTGTAAAAAACAGAGTGAACTCTGAAACGTGGGAAATTGCTTCACTGAAATTCAAATTTTGACATGAGAAAACGAATTCATTTTGTTTTGGGATTGACCAAAATGCTTAAGGAGCCCTAATGAACTATAAGAATTAATTTATTAAAAGGCAAGAAGTAGAATCAGAGTATGGGTCATGAATAGTCAGTGAATGATCCAAAGTAACGAGATCTCTGTGACCTCAGAGGGATTCACCACTTAATAATTTCTCTTTCGAAGCAGTTTCAAAAGTACATTGTGTCTTTTTGGTGACTGGTACAGGTCTTGCTCATGTATAAATAAAAACAGAGAAAGTGACTTTCTCCCTAAAAATTTCCAGGTTTGCTGCATGTGGATGGATGAGTTTGCCCAAGAACTTGGAGCGGGCGAAGTACTGTGGACACAGGTTTCGAGTTGCAGCACTTTCTCACAAGAGCAAGTCCACTTCATAAAATATTCTCATTTACCTTTTTTTTAAATGTGGGAAGAATGACAGGCACTCCACTGAAGAAGATACTGAAGGCAGGCTTGGATTTGGGATTCAAATCTGTCACCTAATAATGGTGTCACACAATTAAACCTCAGTGAGCAGAGCTTTTCATTACTGCGAGGATGAAATGACAACCACAAAGCCTTAATTCTGTTGTCCCCACCCTGGAGAACAGTGCAGGGAACAAAACTGATGAAATGTTTTCGAAGAAATCCAAGGGGGTAAAATATAGACAGATTTGCAAGTTTGAGAGGCTGATAACTTCCTTCATAAAATGTACGGCTCCTGCCCTGAAACTTTCAAGCGTGTGTGATCATCACAGTAAAAGACTTTTAGTTTTCAGTATTTAAGTCCCTTACATAGTACACAAGGTCCACCCACCTGCTCAGCAGTGACTAGCATATGTGTTGTTACAATGGATGTTAGAATGATACGCTTCTTAATTGCTTACTTATTCCCCCCAAAGACAATTACTTATACTTTAGAAGAAGCAGGACTCTGCAGTGAAAACACACAGACCTGAAAGCAGAGCATTAATTATTTTATTAATTTCTTCTTTTTACATTATGGGAAACATTCATCTATTTACAATTATTGTTTTGTCCACACACAATCTAGGTAAATAAGCCTATGAAATTCCAATTCATAAAGCCATAAAAATGTTCCCCACCCCTCCATCTGAAGGCTTTCAAATGAATCTTTTTTTTTTCCAAACCAAAATAATTTTTAAAAATTACATTTGGGAATTCAGATATGCTAGTGATTTACACTCCAGTTATTTAAAATATGCATCTAGACATGTTTTAAAAAAGAAATGGTAAATTCACAAGGATAAGGCTTAAATTAAAGTGGTAATGCACAGTAAAACATTAAGGAAACATCTATAAATAACAGAAATATATTACAAATAAATTAGTTCTATTTACCATTTCAAATATTAAAAATCTTTAATCCATTTCTTCATCTCTCTTTACAAAAAGGTTATGTGAATTGTATGGAAACATCTGCAAAAAATATAATAAATACTTAATTTCTTTGAACGTTTTTTGATGTGGGAGACAAACTTCTTTTGTAATCCCCCCCCCCAAGAAAATGCCTTTATACCAAAGTTAAACAAAATAAGTAATTTTTCAGGGTACATACATTTTCCATTATGAACTAAAAAACATTTCTACAAATTACATCAAAAAGAACAATGTAACAAAGGTTATGCTCATGGATGTCAGTTTAAGGGGGCAAGTGGTTAACAAGCAGCTTTATGAGGGGTCATGTTTTAACATCAATAATTAGCTTTTTATAAAGTGTTTGTACAATTTGTGTTTTTAAGGAAGGCAAAGGTCACGATGCCTGTAGGCATTCAGCTAAAAGATTTAAAATTCTTACCAAAAATAGCTTATGAATATACAAATACCATTCACATAGACAAGATAAATAGGCCTTTTCTTGTCTCTCTTTAAAATATCCTGGGCTAAACCAGTTTCCAAAGAAAATATCATAGGATGATCTTGAATTGTATTAGAAATCTATTTCTTAATCCAAATCTTATCTCTACCTCAGGGCACAGAGCTGTAGTTGGGAACACGGGTCTTCAAATGGATGCTGCTTCCTTTACATTAATCTGGGAGTTCCAAGTCATTTTCAGGATGGAATGGACCATAGGCTACCCAAAGTGGCAGTTGGCCTTACTTGACGCAAACTTTGTATGACCTTCCATTGTTGCTACAAAGTAAAGGAAAGGTGTATTCTTCTTAAAATCAGCAATATTGGAAGCTCAAAATCTCCATATGCTCCAATTTTACAAAGCACCCAAGGTGCTCTGTACACCCTAGTTAAAAGTTGGTTGGTTGGTTTTTAAATGAGTTAGTAGCCCTTTTCTGGTAAACCACAGCAGTAAACATTTGTGCCCTGTTTATAAAGATAGCTCAAAGCATCAATGGCTCTGAGAGGTAGCGAATTCTCTAGTGGTTTTAGAATATGTCCATGAAAATATTGTTGCCAGAACCCATCACCTCTCTTAATTTCATAAATAAAATTAAATTAGCACCTGGCTATGAGAGTGTATTTTTTAAAAAGTTTCTCTGGTGCAAGCATATTTGATGTATGCTTTTAAAAGTCTTTCATTTTTTAATGGTAATTTCTAATGCTTTAGGGTGGGAGCAGGACATAAAATGCCAGTGATACTTTAAGATCACCACATTCTAAATGTTTAAACTGCTACGAGTAAGGGCATTTAAAGATAACTTCAGCTAGATGCAAAGTGCATACTGCCCATCCATCACAGCTCAAAATGGAAAGCAACATTCTCTGCCAAAAGCCTGGGTTTCTTTCAGTGTTTATGAATCATGACTTTCCCCCCCCTCTTGGATGCTGAACCTCGTGGATTGCAGATCAAATTTCTTCTCTCACTACCTGGGACCTCAAGATGAGTGGCAGCTCTTTGCAACGAGGCAGCATGTCTATTGGGATAGGAAACTTACTTGATCGGTTTGACATAAGACAAAAACCCTTATGCTGGGGAATGATAGGACTCTGTGCAGTCGAGAGAAGACTAAAGGAGAAAATATGTCTGCAGTGTCAACTACTGGGTTAAAACAGACAAATGTGTAGCATTCAAAAGGATGATAGGAAAATCCAAACTTTTCTCTGACAACAGCCTGGCTGCCATTTACAGCACTTCACAAGCAGATGTGTACTTATATATGTGTAATTAGGTAGGCCCCCCAGGATGGACACTAACAAATGAACAGAACCAACAGTTTCCCCTTTAAAGACCCCCACCACCACCACAATATAATATACATAGTACAAGAAAAGTTGATAAAACATTTCAGGTCTAAATTTTCTTAATAATAGGACAAAAAAAAAATCCCTTTTGTAAAAGTATCTTAAACTATCAGCGCTTCCTTTGCCTGGCCTTTCTTCACGTTATTGCCTTTCAGAATAGATTAATTTCCCTGAAAGATCGAATTTACAATCTTCTGCTGATTGAGACATCTGAAGCAGGCATTGATGAGACAACAGTGAGGCAGTTTGTGCAGCTGTGAGTGGAGCAGGTACCCCAGCACCCGCAGATTTCCCTTCCCCCTTTCCCACTACACATCCAGGTCCCCCACCGCCAGCCCATCTCCGATCCCTCTCGGTTTGTCACTCACTGATTCCGAGAGATCGCGTGATTTCTGAGGTTGGAAATAAAGTGCTCCATCTGCTTTACAAAATAATAACCGTTTAGGGGAAATAAAGGGACTCGGAGCCCTAGTTTCTTTCACGTGGAAGACGGTTAAGTCCCAAAGGATCACCCTGTGATAGTGGATTTCTGAAATACTCTATGGTTTGATATTGCTGAGCTCTAGGGACAGACTAGCTGGAGAGAACTGAGGATGGTGGGGGACCTAACAGGGCCATTTCTACACAGGTGGGCTTGGTTTTGCCACGAAAAGAAAGGGTTGGCTATCCGGATGAGGCAGGGTGACGCATCAGTACAGGTGGCGAAGCTCGGTGAAGAACATGGGCAAACGGGTCCGGGCAGCAGAGGTTACTGGGGGACGGCTCCTGCAAGATCGACAACTACACCGCGACAGTGGAAGTCACTGAGCTCAGAAACAGACGGGCTCGGAGGGCGAGGTGGGGAGGGAGGAGGAAGAGGAGGAGGGGAGGACAGATACTTGGTGGCGACGCCGCGGGCTGCGCGCGGCGCGGCCCGGCGCCTCAGAGCCGGGTCTGCGCCTCGGGGATGTAGATCTCGATGCTCTCGGCGCTCTCGGTGGCCGAGTTCTGGCGGACGGACGCGGCGCGCTTGGCGGCCATCAGGCGCTTGCGGGCCTCCTGGCGCTGCGAGCTCTCCAGCGAGCGCTCCCGGATCAGCGGCGCGGGGCCCTTCGCCGGCTTCTTTGGCACTGGAGGAGGGGCCCTTCTCTCCTGATCAAAGCAGAAGGTTCAGGACATTACACAGCTTCTCAGGACAAGCTTGGGAAAAACTGGGATAGGTCAGTAGTTAGAACACATTTTTTTTTTTTTAACCTAAGGGTAGTTAATTTTGATCTGCACCTTGTATATATTTTTTTTCTTCATTATTCTGGCTTGGGTATTCAAAAGATGCAGAAAACAAAAAATACCGGTAAGCTTAAGGCCAAGAGTAAGGCTGGATTGCAGAGCTGGGTGTCTCCAAGGGAAGGATGTGGGTATTTAAAATGCCCCCTGCTGAAAGGGTGCGGCTCCCAGCACATTTAGTGTGGTTCTCTCTGGAGGCTCCAGACTCTTCCCGGTGCCAGAGATGGGAAAGGATGGCAGCGGCAGCGGCAGCATCTTAGAACTCTGCATCCCTTCTAAGAAGGCAAGGCAGCGGGTGCGAGCGTGGTTCAGTTTAAAAACATCACCGCCCTCTCCCCGAGCCCACCCAAACCTAAATAACCAAATGAGGAAGAAGAGATCTTAAGACTGCGTTCTTTAGCTTTGTTGATGACACAGTGAGTAATACCCGTTTGCACATCACACACAAACACACAGCGAGATACTTTCCAGGGTCACCCTGGAGGGAGGCCACTGACAGTTCCTACACTCGGGGGTGGAGTCAGTTCCAATATGGCTCGGAAAACATCCTGTTGGGACATCACTCCTTAGAGGCCTCAGGATGACTATGGTGGCCCAGAAGGCAATTCCAATCACAGGGACAGGCACTGTGCCGTGAAAATTAACACAGGACTGAAAGAGGTCATCCTCCTTAGCAGCAGCAAACCGTAAAACGGTTAGATATTTTTAAATGCCACTGCAAAACCAAAAGCCATTTATCACTTGGGCCGCAGACGGTGGGAGGCGGGAGGCCGAGGTGGGGAGGCCGCGTGTTGGGTGGTAGGAGTGCCAGGGGAAAGAATGGGATCTAAACCACAAAGGAGTTTTAGGAAAAGGATGGTGGGCTTTCAGGCTGTGAAAAGGTCCACGTGAATCTGATGTTTTCATTTTTAATAAAATACCTTCAATTTTCATAAAATTAAATGTGAAAATTATCTTAAAATATGGGTTCTACTACTCTCCAAAGGGCATCCTTTGTGTGGAACGCTCATGCTCATCACTGCAGCTCCTCCTTGCTTGGCGGGTGAAGTGCCCAGCTAAACTTAATGACATTGGAGTTGCCCTCAGGCTGTTTAAGGTGGAGTCTGTGTGGCCCAGCGGACAGAAAAAGAAACTACAGAGTACAAACAGTATTCTGCCAACTCTGCTTGTGCTTCTTCACTTTTTCCCTCAAGTTCAGGGAGTGATGAAAAGCTCAGATCATAGACAAAGTGTATAAAAATTGAGAAATCAAGTTAACTAATGACTTACTGTGTAAATCTCAATAGACTACATATATCAATGCTTCTTAGCATCACAACTTTTGGACATTTTAAATCTTCATTCATGGGTAACTTAGTGGATATTTTTTAAAGTATGAATATTGGAAACTTTTTAGTCATATCTTCCTTTCCTTGTACATTTTCTAAATAATAGTATTTTTTTTTAAATCAATGAACGAGAAATTAGATGGATCCACTCTAGCAACTAAATTACCAGTATGTATGTACATCTGTAGTGTTTTCTTAAAATAAGAGCAATTTAAAAGCTTATTAGCAGAAAGTTTTAAACACATATTAAAGAAAACTAGATTGAGTGCAAATGTTTGGCTTCCCAAGTTAGAGGCCACACGTACATCGATGGTTCTCTTTCACGCTTAACACTAAAACCCCCAGGTTGATGGTGACAGAATTGGAGATGAGGGACAATGACGACAGCCCTCCTGTTGAATACGCACCGTCGTTTGTGACTGGATTTCTCCAGGGAGCCCACTGACCCCAAGAACCCTGATACTATGATGGGAAGAGCAGAATGGATTGGATTGTTGTCAGCTCTCCGATAGGTCAGGAGATCCAAAAAGGGCAAGGCCACCAGTGCTTCATGGGAATAGCCAGGCCTAATTTTTAGAAGTTGAGTCTCTTGGAACTATTTAACCCCAGGCCATAGGAAAGCAAAGGGTTAAAAAAGTTATTCAGGACAGGCCAGCCCAGGGCGGGGACACTGGATACCCTTGTGAGCCTGATGGAACCACATAATCAAATGTGAAAATTGCAGTTTATTAATTAAAGTAAAAGAATTTGAGTCTTTATTTCTAAACTGTTGCATGAGGAACCCAGTGAGCAATATACCCCAAGGCAAATCAACCAAAAGTAAAACTCTTTAAAAAAAATCCCAACATTTATGATTACTGTGAAGCTTTATGATGTGTATTTTTAAACTTGAACAACAGTGGTTTCTTTATTACTATATTTATGAAATGATTATCAGAGTCAGTTAGTTTTCAGGGTTTCCTATTTTTCTTGGGAACACATCCTAGGGGTGTAAGGAAGTTGAACTCTGGCTCTATGTAATCATGCACTGAAGATGTCATTTATTTTAGTTTAAAAAGCAAAATGGAGGCAGTTCCTTCCAGTGACTAAAATGGTTTAACTTAAAGTTTAATTAACAAAAAAAGCCACATTCCCATTTTCCAATTCACAAAGACAGGTTTTTCTTTAAAAATATGCCTGAAACATATTACAGATAATATCCCAAATGATTACTATGTAAACATTGTCATTACAATGAAATTAATATGATATCAGCTCCATTTCACATTGTAAACAGCAAGACTGAATGAAGAAGCCTATTTAGACTGTCCAGTGTTTGTGCAGGTTTTTAAATGAACCATACAAAATCTACATTGTTCTACCTTCTTGTCAAGAGGATCCATCTGTTTCCAATTATTGGCCTTTAACTGATGAAGTTCATCAAATTTCATACTAATATTTTCTATGGACAACTGCAGCATGTCCCAGAACCCCGCCAAATCCTGGGAAGTGGGCCTTGGATGAGCATTGGGATTCTGTACAAGAGAAAGAAAAACATTCATGCTTTAGAGGCGATCTGTGACAAGAAGCACAGGACCAAAGTGGTATTTTCACATATTTCAAATAATATAAACAGGATGAGTTCCTTTCGGTTTTCAGACAAGTGATAAAAGTGAGGCTACAAATGGTAATTTTATTTATTTCTTTTAAATTTTATATATATATATATTCACCTTTATTAAGGAATAACTGACAAAATTGTAAGATATTTAAAGTGTACAATGTGATTATTTGATATATGCATACATTGTGAAAGGACTCCTTCCATTGAGTTAATTAACACATCCAGCACCTCACATATTTATCTTTTTGTGTGTGTGTGAGAACATTTAAGTTCTACCCTCTTAGCAAATTTCAGTTAGACAATACAGTGTTATCAACTATCGTCACCATATTGTATATTAGATATCAGACCTTATTCATCTTATAACTGAAAATTTGTACCTTTTACCCACCTCTCCCTATTTCCCCCACCTCTGAAGCCCTGGCAACCACTTTTCTACTCTCTCTTTCTATGAGTATGACTTTTTTTTAAAGATTCCACTACAAATGTTCATTTGTACACTCATCCAACTGAGTCACTGATTCTCAAACGTCAATGTTGTAAAACTCTTCTTTTGTAATATATCTGTCAATATGATATGAGTTAGAGTCTAAACACTTGAAAAATCCAGAATGTATGATCTCCAGCAAGACACATTTAAAATATCATATTTAAATGAAAATACCATTAAAAAAACACAGTATATTATTATGGAGTTGGTATTTGATGCCATGCCATCCAACTTACTCAGACAACAGATAAGGAATCTAAAATAAGATTCACTTTAATATCCATGTTGAGTGAAATAGGGTAAACAGATGATGAGTAATAAGATAATTGGATTTTCAAAGTACTGTGTGTTTAACCATCAAGATGTTACCAATATAGGAAGTCATTTTATCATATAAGTACTTTGACAAAATCATTTGGAAATAGTTTTAAACTGACCATAAAATAATATAGCAAATGTGAGAACACATATCTATATATACACTTAGATGTCTATAATGACCCATTTGCTAGATAATATTAAACATTCGTTGGTGTTTAAGGATTGACTTTTTTTGCTCCAATCCACATATCCCTGACAAGTACTAGAAAGTATGAACCTCTATTTTATAGGATCTAAGACAGAAAAAACGTAACTAAGAAATTGAAGGTGTCACGCTCATTGTTAATCACCACTACAACAATAGCTAAAGGCATTCAAGGTTGGATGGGTGGGAGCTTCCACATGTCAGAGGTACCCAGCTGGGATCAGTCTTGGTTACCTCTGGGTATTCCAGGCAATTGGATAGACTGAAACCCATGCCAGTTTGCTAGTAGAAACTAGAGGCCAGTTTGTACTTTTAAAATCAACCCCTATAAAAAATGATACATCAGGGGCTGGCCCCATGGCCGAGTGGTTAAGTTCGCGCGCTCCGCTGCAGGCAGCCCGGTGTTTCTTTGGTTTGAATCCTGGGCGTGGACATGGCACTGCTCATCAAACCATGCTGAGGTAGCGTCCCACATGCTGTAACTAGAAGGACCCACAACGAAGAATATACAACTATGTACTAGGGGGCTTTGGGGAGAAAAAGGAAAAAAATAAAATCTTAAAAAAAAAAAAATGATACCATCAGATTTTCAGAAAGTGCAAGGTCAGTGACCATCAAAGTTAACAGGTTGGAAAGAACTGTTTAGCCCTTTGATGGACTAGCATTATTGGTTTGGCTTTAAAATAAACATAAGTAAAGATGTACTTATAAACTTACACTTCTAAAACTACCCATAGTTCTCAAATTCATTGGAAGAAGTAAATTCTAAAGTTTGTATTTGGTTAAGTACTAAACTCTATTCTAATGACACGAATTAATGAAAGGGCTTCTCTCTAGTATTTTGATTTAGTAAATTAAAAAAAGCTTCTCAATATCTAGGTACAGAATAGACAGATAATAGCTTTGACAAAGTACCTCTCACATGGAGTTTTATGATCTCACAATATATTTCCTTATGTTATTGGTAACTAAAAACTAAATTGCTCATATTTTGGAGTCCACTAAAGTCTTTTACGTCACAAGCCCTATTGGCTAAACTGTTTCAGTGTACCAGTGCATGAAATGATAGATCAGTAGGCCCAAAGAGTTTGTTTAATTCTGTATCATAGGCAATTTGCTTCCTCCTCACCAAGAATCTCTTTGCCCCCATGTCATTAAGGGGATGGATGGAAGAGCAGAGAGAACGAGCTTAGGCACTCGGCCAGTCTCAGAATCAGGGGGTCATGTGACATCCCATGCATAGGAAGGAGCTGTAGCACTTGCCTCAGTCTGAACAAGACCACTTGGAGGTCAGAGGTGGTGGAGGGTATAGTAGGATGAGGAGGAATGGGTTCCTTGGTTTAGTTTTGTTGGAAAAAGTTAATTTTCATCCATGTATTCTGTGCCTGAGAGTCTAGTCTGAGATAATGTGCAAGTGTTTTCAAATGTTCTCCTCCTCAGAGTAAGAAGTCAAGACAGGAGAGCTGAGTCTGGTTGTGAGCAATCGTAGTGCCACTTTTATGCAGCTTTTAAACCTAAGCAATGCCACCACCAGGCCACTGTACTTCCTGCTGCAGAGGAGGCAGAGCTGACTGTTCAGCCCCATGTCTCTCTATGAGGGTAAGGAGTGGAACTCAAATCCGGAGGTGGGGCAGGATTTACAGGGAGTGAGGTCACACAGACTGGGATTTGAATCTTGGTTCTGCCTCTTACCATGTGGCCCTGGCCAAGTCACTTAGCCTTTCCATGTCCATTTTCCTCAGCAGTAAAACGGTCATAAAAATCATGTTACTGTCTGCTCCACAGTGTTGCTTTGAGGATTTAACCACATCATAAATCTAAAGCTGTTAGCATAGCGTCTGGCACATAGTGGGCTCTTGACCTTCCCTTCTGGGGCGTGGCTGGACCAGCCATCAATGGCCCTCTGCCCTCAGTGCAGTTCTGCTTCAGTCTGCCTCTGACATGCTGCTCACATTTTGCCACCTACGTTCCTCCAGTGGCCAAGGACTGTGAGCCCATAAGGAGTTAGGAAACGTCAAAAGCTAGCTCTAACAAGGTTAATCTTTCCTAGAAGTCTGCAAAATTTTCAAAATGTTTTGTCTGCAATTTCATCTTCAAAATCTCCACAATATTTGCATTCTACTTCATAATATCCCTGCTCGTTACATAATTCTTTGAAAAAGTGTTCTGTGTCTGCCCTGTTACTTGTACATATTGGCCCCCACAAGTATCTCTTGGCTGGTTTCAGAAATATGGCTTTATATGAACTTTCTTACATTTACGGAACAAAGAATCATGTTAATTAAGATCTGTGACACAGGAGCAAACTTACAAATTAGCAGGAATTCTGCACCTGGCACACAGTGAAACTCAAGAAAATAGTTGTTGAATTCACTTGTAATACATTTACTAATATATACAATCTCATAATCTGGAATAGAATTTCAGAGAGGGTGCAAGAAGGGTCAGGTAGTTTTGGTGACGGAGGGGAAAACAAACAATAGATGTGGGGGGTGGCTGTGAGGGAGAGGGAAAGGATAGCCCCACAGGAGGTTTCAGAAAGAAAAGCCTGGCGATGACGGAGGGAGAGCTCCAGCTTTTGCATGCTTTCTCTTTTCTCTTGGTTGAACCCTGTCTAGATGAGTCCCGTTCAGTCTATCTTTGTCTTTGTTAACAAGAAGATATAGTTAAAACTCTAAAATCATAGTCTAGGTGAATTAGATTGCAAGTATTCATGTTTTTACTTGCCACAAGATAAACAGGTTGCTTTTCATTTTCTTTATTTTAGATCCAGCTTGACCAACAATTGACCAATAAAAGCTATTCTCGTGGAGTGACACTTGAGAGATAGTAGCAGTTTTTTGTTTTTTGGGTTTTTTTTTGAGGAAGATTAGCCCTGAGCTAACTACAGCCAGTCCTCCTCTTTTTTGCTGAGGAAGCCTGGCCCTGAGCTAACATCCGCCCATCTTCCTCTACTTTATATGTGGGACGCCTACCACAGCATGGCGTGCCAAGCGGTGCCATGTCCATCCTGGCATCCAAACCGGCGAACTCCGGGCCACCAAGAAGTGGAATGTGGGAACTTAACTGCTGTGCCACCGGGCCGGTCCCTAGTAGCAGTTTTTTTTTAAAAAAGGCATATGTGAGTAAGCTCTTGGCCTTGTATTTTGCAGTCAGTTTTAAACACATTGTTGATGCAAGTGCTTTTATCTCTTTGTTTTGCTTTATTTTGTTTTTGTATGTCCAAGAAGAATGAATTATTCATTTGTCTCAGGGAGATCAAATCTATACTTTCTGATGCCCTCTACCTCTGTCTTTTGAGTTAAAACAGAGAACTCTGATGAGGAAATAGGCCCTGCTGGCTATTTCAGAAAGAAAATCATTATCTAAAATGCTTTTCTGTAATATTATTTTTGAAATATCAGGCTGCTCCCTATTTTGGTAAGAATAATGAAATCAGAGAGGCCATGTGAAAGCCAGGAAATGGGAAAATTTTCAGTTACCAAAAAAGCAGGAAATGGAGTTTTAACTTGACTGGAGTTTTTTCTTCTAGGATTATTTAAGTATAAAATAAATATTTTTAATTTTAAGAATAGCAGGAAATAAGACTCATCACTTAATAGAGAAATACACTCTATTCCAGAAATAGAGAAATAGAAAAAACACTGTATTCCAGGTGAGAGAGTCCAATGGGCCTTGACTTGGTCCAAAATCAGTTTTACTTTAGTCGGTCCAGTCTTGACAACACGTTCTTCTCATGGTTCTAGCAGGGAAATGGCAGTGATGGGGAATGGTACCTACCAGGTTTTCTTCACACAGTTCTCTGAACTGGTAGAATTTCTGCGCCATGAGAAGTTGGGCACTGCCCACTGCAGTTCGGATCTTCCCTAGGACTGAAAAGAGCAAACACACAAGAAGTTTACACATTCTGTCTCATTGTTGAGTCTGGGAAAGCAAAGAGGAAGTTATGCTGTCATAATTAGGGAAAACAGTATGCATCCTGCACGCGCACACGCACACAGCCCAATCACGATCGTTACTCTGTTGGTCTATGCAACAGAGGCTCCCGGGTTAAAGCACAGAATCAACTTGGAAAAAAATACATGCTCGTCATGCATATTTCCTAGGAATAACGGAGTTTTCCATCACAGTCCTGGATGTTACCAAGAGAAGAGGCAAAGAGAGTTTTTTCCCTATTACTACAAGGATGAATTTGAAGTGTTTACCAGTATGGTTATGGATTTATTGGTGTCAGCAATCACGGTCTGCTAGCTTGTTTTTCTAATCCAAATCCAGATACAAGGAAGCAGTCCTAACGTGGAAGGGGATCTCTTGGCACTCACCATATCCCATCCACAGCCTTCATTATTTTTCCGGAGCTCAGCCACTGGTTACTGTCAGGAAAAAGCCATGGCCAGTTGAAAGATTTTTCTAAGGAGTGAACATTTTCCACCTGTTGCCTAGGGAACACCAGCACTGTCACAGCTTTTCCACTCCACAGACCAATTTTATTGTTAATATAGGTTTAATTCCCTATGCACTGTGCTGAAAAATCTTCTCCTTTGCAAGCTACTTCTTGCCTTCCGTGCAGTCTAAGGCAAGAACGTTTCAACTGATGGGCGTGCCGAGACGGGGCGGAGCCGCTCTGCACAGGGTTGTCCTGAGGTCTGCATTGTCCCAAAGGCTCTCCCTCCACCCGGTGGGGACTGGGGCCCAGCTGCACTGCTGGAGCCCTGCCACCAGGCAGTTCTCAACCCGACCTGCCTGTCAGGAAGGAAGGGGAGAAGGTGCCCTGTTGGCCCCTTCCCTGCCCACATAGAAACCAGAGATGGAGACTTCTCAGAATTGCGCTTGCCCTGTTTTGAAACCTTCTTGGGAGGCACATGACGGGATTGAAGCAATGTTTTTGCTGTTGTTGTTTTGCTCTGAATTTATAGATCCTGAGACTCAGAGCGGAATTAGGTCTCCTTTTCTTGACCTCATTCCCCGCAAAGTCTGAGGAGAAGAAAACAAAAGAAAAAGGAACTTCATTTTGGCACAGGGTTTTCTAGTAATTTGCTTCTCTGTTTAACTGCTAGGCTAGATCATGGTTTCTGATGCACATGATACCCAGGAAGTGCTCCAGCACTTCAGCCTTCCCACAGCTGTAACTCAGGGCATTCACGAACTCTCTACCATGTCACGAGTCACACCAAACAGCTGCAGGGCAGACATTTGCCTCCTCAGTGATAGCGAGGGATCCCCCTTGACAGCCATCTGGCAGCAAGTCCTCAGGCCTAGGTTTTTACTTTTTTCCAATCTGCTTTTAAAATCTTTTGGGATGGGTATCCGTTTCCTGTTTAACAGATCAATCAGTTGTGTGAGGCCTCCTCTCTCTATCACAACACCCCTGAAGCAGAAAGGACGCCATATGGAGACACAGTTGTTCTGGAAGCAGGCCCTACGTGGGCTGAGGGTTCTGGCTCCAACACTTACCAGCCACTGCCTGGGACAGGTCACTTGATTTCTGTTTTCTCGTATGTAAAATGGGGCTAATGGTACCTATTTGTAGGATTATTGTGAGGGATTCCACAAATATTTATTAAGGGCATAATGTGCCAGGCACTGTCCTGGATGAATATGACACAGTGACAAGCAAGACAAAGGCTTGCCCTCATGGATTACATTCTGGTGAGGGACAGCAGGTGAGACTGAGGTCAAACATCCAAACATAGATATAAATGTTCGGGACTGGCTAGATTACTTGGCTTGGGCCAGATGGGACCGAGCAGGATTGAGCAATTCAAAGGACAGTGAATTCTTTAAACGGTTGTTAGAGAACATTCTGTGATATTGCTCTCTCTTCTAAGAAATGGAAAACAAACAAACAAAAAACAAGGTTTGAGGTGGTATCAGTTGCAATATGAAAACTGGCTCTAGACTAAGCAGTTCGTTTCATTTGAAAAATGCCATTGCCTTTTTATTTGGAAAAAAATTAAAATACATGAAAGTACAAAGGGTGAGATAGCAAACATCTATGTACGTGCTCTCCCCCAAAGGAATGAATGCCAATTTTTTAAAAATTTGCTTCCAAAGTTTTTTTTCTTTTTTCCTCTCTCTCTCTCCATTGAAATGAAAGCCTACAGATAAAATATATGTTCTCCACTTCTGTCCCATTTGCCTCCCTCCCCAGAGGAAACCACTGGACTGGACAATGAAAATTTTAGACTCATCCCTGAGTTTATGAAGGTTTCTTCCCTGGTCCTAGAAAGGTGACAGCTAAGGGCCTTCTCGAGTGCAAACAAGAGAACGTTTGCCAGGGCAATCTCACTAGGACAGTTGAGACCCCACGGCCTGGAGCAGCAGACTTTCTGAAAGTTAGAATGCGAGGTCTTAAGGCTTGGTGGGTCCCGGAGGAAGATGTGCTTCTGGGGTTCTGTTTAATTGGTTTCCTTCACATTCTGGTCCATATAGTCTTTCCAGATTGTTCAACCCAAATGTAGTTGACAGTTTTTACCATCTTCTCCCTTAGGACACATTCAGTGCATCTTCCAGAATAATGATCTCTACTGTATCCCCCCATGCATGCCTTTTAACCATGATTCATACCATATATTGTGTAATATTTAATCATATTATAGGTCTTGTTTTGTCGTGCCACTCTTTTTATATAGGTAAGTCTGGTCTCCCTAGGAGTCTTATAAGCACCCTGATAGTTAATTTTTTAGATCCTTTTCTCGCTTTCCTTTTCTCCACAGCTCCTTTGTTAGTCTGTTCCTCAGTGGAAGTACAAAACAACAACCGTAAACACTGTTGAACTAAATTCCTTCTGTTTAAGTGGGCACCTCTTTATTAACTTCCCCACTTATAATTCTAGAAACCTCTCAACTCACGATAGTTATGAGAGATCCTAACAGAGAGGGCAGGCCTGGGTTAGTTCACCACACAAAGCCAGGAAGATCTTTTGGAAAGCCGTCACTGTTTGGTTTTTGCAAAAGTCTGCCTATTTATAGTATTACCTTGTATTTCCAAGCACTTTCACATGTACATCTAATTTGATCCTCACAGGACCCTGTGAGGCAGGGCAGATGTGATTTCACTTGAGAAAATTTGGACCTAACTAGGAAGTGCCTTCCTGGGGCCCACAGTGCCTGGACCTTGTCTTCTCACTCCTGATCCAGTTGTGATCTTTTCTCTCAACACTTACTGAAAATTGGGTCTGAATCTACTTAAGCGAAGCCATCTGAGGGTGATTTCTTCCCTTTATCAACACTTTCTAGCCAGAGTCAACAGATAGAAGGGGGGTGGCTGTGACAAGTCAATGGGGGAATTTGAAGAAGTTCAGCAAATTGGATCCCTGTCCCACATCAGGACGGGAGAGCAAAGCACATCTGGGCCAAATGATTATGGCAGAAAAGAATTCCAGCTGTGAAAAGAATGGAGGATCCAGGGATCACTTGAAAAAGATGGTGGGTGTAAGCTTCAGGTTTGGGGTTTTTTTTTTTTTAAAGATTTTATTTTTCCTTTGTGTCCCCAAAGCCCCACAGTACATAGTTGTGTATTTTTAGTTGTGGGTCCTTCTAGTTGTGGCATGCCGCTTCAACATGGCCTGATGAGCAGTGCCATGTCGGGGCCCAGGATCCGAACCAGCGAAACCCTGGACCGCCGAAGCAGAGCGTGCGAACTTAACACTTGGCCACGGGGTCAGCCCCTGGTTTTTCTTTTAAAGATTATACATTATAATGAGGAGCAGAGAAAGACTATTTTGGTTGTGTGAGGAGATCTTTTATGAAAACTAATGATTTTAAATCTCCTGGTTGTATTCAATCAAAAACCCAGACATTTAGAAAAGAGCATACCTCCTCCCTCCCATTGACCCCCATGGGGTATGGCTTTTATTTTTGGAACAAGGATGTGGTATAAAAGGCACATAGGTGAAGAGAACCAACAATTCCTTTTAACCCTGCACGGGAATCCACGGCAAAGCTGCCTGGAGTTTCAGCGTGCTGCTGTAGCGGAATACAACAAAGACCATTTCCTCTATGGATATGCCTGACTTCTTGCTGAGTCAAAAATCAGTATTTCACATCCATAAGCATAGCTCTCTCCCCCTTTCTCTGCCATCGTGGTGTGTGCGGTTGACTTTGGGCCTCCCCAGTCTTCTCACAAAACTTTCAGGATTAAGTGATTCCCGGCCAAGAAACAAAAGCTGAATCATCCCATTCCCCAATGCACTTGAATGAAAACTAATAATAAAATCAGGTACAATTCCAACAGAAGACACGGGAGTAGAACCAGGCTGGGTCTACAAGGAATTGCACATGAGATAGTACACATATTTATGCTGTATCAAGGTCACTGGCATCTCACCATATCAAGCTGAAAACATCACTGATATCTCGACAGGTGGACATGTTTTATTGGGAAAATTACTTTTCTGTTTCTATGTTTCTGCACTAGTACGTTGGTTCAGTAATAAATGTTTGTGACCTTTTGTTTGAAAAAGAAACCGGGGCTGGCCCCATGGCCAAGTGGTTAAGTTCGTGCACTCTGCTTCGGCAGCCCAAGGCTTCGCCGGTTCTAATCTTGGGCTCGGACATGGCACCGCTCGTCAAGCCATGTTGAGGCAGCATCCCACATGCCACAACTAGAAGGACCCACAACTAAAAATACCATCTATGTAGACATATATCTTATACCCTCAATGGCGCTTCCCTGAAACCTGGACACTGCGTATCAATAGAGTGGAATATGTCTGGCGTCCCACCAGTGAAACTTACTGCAGTGGACATGCTGGGGGGAACGCTTCCCGGGCGCTGTCCAGGTAACCGTACTTCCCCTTGTATACTCCTTTTCCAGTCTAACTTCCTCTCTGTGTAATACACTGGAAAGAGCATAGGTCTTGGAGTCAGGA